AGTGCAATTCACTGATCAGTAGACGGTTCTGTGATTTTAAGCAATTGCGTACACCAGGAAACCACCACCATAATCAAGACATGGAACAGAACCGTCACCTCGGAGTGTTCTCTTGTGCCCCTTTGTAACCAGTCCTCCTCGGTGACCAGGCCCTGGCAACCTCTGATCTGTCTGTTTCCTGTTTCTGTATGTTTAGGCGTTTCCAGAATGGTATATAAACAGAATCATGAACTGTGTAGATTTTAAAGTCTGGCTTGTTTCCTTATAGTGCATTTGAGATTCATCATGTTACTGTATGTCAGTTGATTTCTTTTATTGCTAATCACTCACCATGGTTGCTGTCCATTCATCAGTAGAAGAACCTTGGATTATTTCGGGCAATTATAAGCATAGACACTGTGAATAAAATATTCGAAAAGACACCTAATCAGAGAATATGCAAATGTCAAGTAAGCACATGAAAAGATGTGTCTTTTCAAATATTTTGGGGGAACAACCAGGTTGCCTAAAGAAGGGTGAACAAGCCCAGGTTGGAAACAGGTAAAAACTCCTGTGCTGTCAAATATTTTGCTTATTCTTATTGTGTTGTTTTGTTGTTATTGGGTTTTCAGAAATCTCTTTATATTCTGGGTTCAGGGCTTTGTTTTTTGTTTGTTTTATCACATAAGTGTCTTGCAAGTATTTTGTTCCAGTCTAGTGGTTTGTCTTTTCATTTCCTAACTGTATCTTTTGAAGAGCAGTTGTTTTTTTGAAAGATTTTATTTAGTCATTTTTAGAAAGAGAGGGAGAGAAATACTGTGTAGGAGATACATTGATCAGTTGCCTCTCACATGTTCCCAACTGAGGACGTGGCCCAAACCCAGGGATATTCCCTGACTGGGAATCGAACCAGAGACCTTTCGTCTTGCAGGCTGGCAATCAGTCCTCTGAGCCACACCAACGAGGGCAGTTTTTAATTTTTAAAATAAGAAATGAAAGCTATGATAACTAATTTGAGACCTTTGTTTTTTTCCTAATATGAACATTTAATGCTATAATTTCTCCTTAAAAGCACTGATATAACTGCATTTCACAAATTTCTATAATATTGTGTTTTCATTTTCATTTTCTTCACAGTATTTCCTGTTTTTCCCTTAAGACTTCCTTTTTGATCCAGAGATTGTTTAGAAGGGTGTTATTTTACTTAGGGTTTTTTTCACATTTTTTTACTGTTATTTTGTTTTCTGTTATGCATTTTTTAATTTTGAATTTAATCTCTTGTGATCACAAAACTGCCTTTGAATTTTTTTAAATGTCAATTAGGTCAAGTTGGTCAAGCATTTATTATCCAGGGATTATTCTCTATCCTTACTGATTTTCTTTCTTCCTTTTTTAAAATTAGTAATGGAACTAAGAATGTTATGGTTCCCAGCTCTACTTGTGACTTGGCTTATCCATAAGCCTGTGGAGTTCTGCCGCGCCGCGCGCTTTGCGTCCTGCAGCCCCGTTGTCGGGCTCACGTTCGTGAGTCGTCGGCACCGTTGTTGCAGCGGCACGCTGACCTCTTTGTAATTATGCAAAGTCCCTCCTCATTTCTGGTAATAGTTCTTGGTCTGAAGTGTTTGCCTACTTACCAATCATAATAATTTGAAATTCCTTTTCCGATTGTTCTTGTATTTGTTCCTCTATTTGGGTCATCTCAGTCTGGTTGATTATCACTGTGGGCCTTGTGTTTCCCTGGCTTGGTCATTGTGATTTCTGATCCAGTGTTGGACATTGTGTGTAAGGCAGTAGAGTGTGTGTGAGGTGGGGGTGGGGGGGCTAGCACTTTTCCTGTAATGGGCCAGGTAGTAAATATTTTGACCTTTGAGGGCCATATGTGGTTTCTGTTGCACATTAGTCTTTTGTTTGTTTTTCTTTTTAAATAACCCTTGAAAGTGTAAATATCACTCTTAGCTCATAGCCCGCACAAAAATAGGTCATGGAGTGCATTTGGCCTCTGGGCCATAGTTACCAACCTCTTCTGGAGAGAACGAGGTAAATAGTGTTTACTGCCGGAAAAGGCCACGCCTCTTGTTGGCACGTTGGGGTGTTAGGCTGGGTTTGGGTTTTGTTGTTGCAGTGGTTACGTTCTGTGCGCTCCAGCTTCAAACTCCTCTAACCTTTGCTTGTGCTGAGGGTGCAGATACATTAAAAAAGAAAAAAAAGAAAAATTGGATCACTCTCTTACATCATACACAAAAATGCACTCAAAATAGATTAAAGATTTAAATATGAGACCTGAAACTGTAAAACTCCTTGAAGAAAATATAGGGAGTAAACTCTTTGACATCAGTCTTAGTAGTATCTTTTTGGATACATCTCCTTGAGCAAGGGCAACAAAAGAAAAAAAAAATTTGAAAGGCACTACATTAAACTAAAAAGTTTTTGCGTAGCAAAAGAAACCATCAACAAAATGAAAAGAATATCTATTTGATAGGAAAAGATATTCACCAGTGATACAGCTGATGAGGGATTAATACCCAAAATATGTTAGGAACCCATACAACTTAACACCAAAAAATATTTTTTGATTAAAAAGTGGGCAGAGGACATTTCTCCAAAGAGGACATACAGATGGCCAATAAACATATGAAAAGATGCTCAATGTCACTGACCATCAGGGAAACGCAGATCAAAACCACAGTGAAGTACACACCTCACACCTGTCAGCATTGGCTGTCATCAGAAAGTCAACCAGCAAGCGTTGGAGGTGGAGAAAAGGCCTCATTGGTGGGAACGCAAGCTGGTGCAGCCACTAGGAAAAACACCTGCCATGTGGCCCAGCAGTTCCAACTCTGAGTGTTTATCAGGAGAAAACAAAAACATGAATTCAAAAGACACATGCACCCCCACGTTTATTGCAGCATTATTTACAATAGCCAGTATATGAAAGCAACCTAAGTGCCCATCAATAGGTAAATGGATAAAGAATATGTGGTTTTACTTATTTATTTATTTATTGTACTGTGTGAAATAAGTCAGAGAAAGACAAACACCACACGATTTCACTTATATGTGGAACCTAAATAAAACAAAACAAATGAACGTACAAAACGAAACAAACATGCCCACAGATACAAAGAACAAACTGACGGTTGCCTCTAGGGAGGTGGCGAGAGGATGGGTCGGACAAGATCTTGTGATGTGACTAAGCTAGGAAATGAGTACACACAGATGAGTTATATTTTTTTTCTAATTTTGTGTATGCCTTATTTTATAATTTTAAAAGGCTTCATTAAGAACATGTAGAATAGGAATTTGAAGCCCCACCCTCCCCCACAAAAAAGAATAAAATCTCACTGGAGGCACTTTAAATTTTTTGCAGAAGCATTGTTTATAATTTATAATAACATATATCAAGAAAGCCTCAAAATACTCATTAACTGAAGAATGGACAATAAATTGCAATCACTTCATGCAATGAAATGGATGGGAAATGGATGAACTACAGTTTCTGTTTTCAATTCAGATGACGCTCTAAAACATAATGCTGGGTGAAAACTGCTCACTACAGATGATACACAATAGGCCAAAAAAGGGAAGAAAGGAGAACGTAGAATGGTGACATTAGTTCTTTTCCAAATTAATATTCTGGTTTACTGCAATTTCAATCCAGACCTGAGCAGACAAACTTATAAGTTGGGAGACAAACTTATACTAGAATTTATATGAAAAAGCAAAGGAATTAAAATAGATAAAACAAATTTGATAAAAATAAAGTTGAGGGATTACATATTCCTCTAACCTTTCCTTGTGCTGAGGGAGGGGGCTGAGGGGCCAGCGTGCCTTCCTCAGTGCCCTGCTGTCTCTCTGGGTCTGTGCCTCAGAGGATGTCCTGCCATCTGTTGCCTCTCCCCCACCACAGACTGCTCTTCTGGCTACTCCATGTCTGCTGGGCTCCTGGTAGAGGATGGAATGGAAATCTCTGTTGTTTTGATTCAACTGCTGTTCACATGTCGGGGGGGGGGGGGGCTTGCTAATGGTCTCCTCCTCCCTGTGGCAGCTACCCTCTGCCAGGTACCTTGGTAGGTCCTATACTAGACATAGCTTCCTTCGCCTCCCCCAAGGTAGGAGAATTCTAATTTCTGGGCCTTGGACTTCCTGCCCCTGCCCCTGCCCCAGATAACACAGGGTTTTCTTATCTCCTTCCCCAGCACGGCAGTCCTCACGATGCCCCGGGAAGGGAAGGTGGGGGGGGGGGTTCTGATTCAGAAGGGAAAGCCCTGGGTGGGCCTTGGTATTGTGGCAGTTCCTGCTGAAGGTTTGTTCTGTCCACTCTTCCAGTTCACTTACTTAACAGGTTTTGCAAGTCTAGTGCTAAGAACGAGGTCCTGATTTTGAGCCTGGTTCCAGTTACAATATCCAAGCAAGAAGTAAATTCATGGCATGTTAAAGGCTCCCCATAGGGAGAAATGGTAGGGGGAGCTGGATCCACTTGGTTAAGGGGCAGAACTTTGTGCTGGACTGCTGTTTCAGTCCAGCTGTTTTTAATGGACGCGACAATATATGCAGGGCCACCAGGTTCTGTAACTCACACGGGAAAAATGGAATACGGTGTGAAGGCCGCAGCCTGTGACTCTGGGACTCGGTGTTCCGAGCGCACGCCGCGGTTTCTCAGGGTTTGCCGCAGTCGGCGTGGAAGCAGAGTAATGCCCCTGAAGGCAGTCCTGCAAGAGGACAGCATGCCAGTCAACAGCGTGAAAAGCCCTTGTATTTTTAGTTCAGCATTTGAAGTTACACGGTTGTGAGTAATATTTGAAGACAGGATGTTACTAAATGGATGACAGATGAATTCTGTCATGCTGCTTTCATGAGCTAAGCTTTTACATCAAGAAATTATGTTGTTTCTGGGTCAGCTCGTAGTTTTCAAAACTGTCAAGTCTGTCATTCAGAAATCCAAGAACCCTTGGCGGTGGATGCTACTCAGAGGTTCCTGCAGGAGTTTCATTCTAACCAGAGTGTTACCTCTTTCTCCTTAGATCCCGATGCAGAGGTGTGTCTTCATGTTTTGCGACTTGTCCAGTCAGTGGTTCTGGAACCAGAAGTTTTCTCCAAGTCAGCCTCCGAGTTCCGGAGCTCCCTGCCCCTGCAGCGCATCCTGGCCATGTCCAGGAGCCGCAACCCCCACCTGCAGACCGTGGCCCAGGAGCTCCTGGAAGACCTTCGCGCTCTGGAGTGTGATGTGTAGGCGTGCCCCTTCCCCTTCCCGAGGTCCCCACTTTGTGTTCTGACACCATCACTGCGTGCCGTGTGTTACAGATGGCCAGGAGTTCTTGACTAGAGATGGATAGGAATGAATAGGTGTCCACACAGCTTCCTCCGGAAGTAAAGGTCCTTGCGGGTGGCTCATTAATCTTGCCAAGGGGAGCCTGAGAAAGAATCCATCCTGTCGCAGCGGCCGTGTCAGCTGGGCCGTGTCAGCTGGGCCTGGCTTCTCAGAGTGGTTTCTGCTCAGGCCACTTTCTGAGACCCGTGGGTTCCCCCCAGATGGGAGATTAAATAACCACCTACCCCATTGGTCAACATTTTCCTGAGACACATTTCTTTGAAAAACAGTTCATTCTCTCTCTAGTAATTATAATTAATCCCCTGAATGCAAGTTTACCTTTAAACCTTTTGGTGAACCTGCTAGTTCAGATGCCATCGGACACTTTAGTTTTGTATTTTTGTGCCTCTTTTACTTTTGAATAAAGAGAGTCAGAAGAGTTGGTGATGTGCTCCAGGTATTGTGTTCTGAAACATCGCAGACGTGGTATTAGGAAGCTGCATATGGCAGTGCTTGATAGGAACGCTCTCCTTATGTTTACTGGGCCCTTTGTAAACTCAGAATGAAGTCCACGTTTTCATGGAAGATATCATGAAAAGGCCTCCTGGATTAGAGCCTGTGCAGTTCGTTGACGTTCTTTAAATGATGTACACGGTGGGTACCAGGGTCCCTTCACCACAGGTTTCCTTCTCATCTGTGGCTAGGCCACTGGCCGAAGATAAAGGGGGCCCACTGCACTTCCCACAGATACCACCTGTGTGAGTTGAAGTCCATCTGAGTCACTCCTGAAGGTCACGTCAGGGAACACGGGCTCTCCTGGTGATGCTTCCGTCGGCATGACGCTGGGCCGTGGGCTCCGGGTGTCCTGTATGAGCAAAACCTCGTGCAGGTGTTCCTTACAGTGGCGGCCTTGGAAATGTGTATAAGCTGTTTCTGTTGTGTGGCATTTTAGAACAATTTCATTTTTCTTTTAAGTAGACTTCTGTAGGCAGCGTACGATTTATGGCTGAGGCCGAATGAAGGAGCTTAGGGGAAGGCACAGTTGCTTGAATTTCACAAGCCAGCATATTGTGAAACACTAGCTCATCAGGGCCAGAGAAATGTTGTAAAAAGCAATTTAAAATTCATGGAGGCAGAAATTGGTCCATCTGTGCTGCATGTTTTTGTAGGGCCTGATGATTGGCGAATGAAATTGAGGATGTTATGTTTCTGTAGTTTTTCTAGTGTGGTATCATTTCCTTTTTGATTGTTTGATAAGGTAATGGGAGCTAAACTAATGTAATTAGTTAGTGCTGTCTCTGCACGTGCAGGGTCTTTCTCCTGCTGAAGTGGGACCAGTGGTGCAGAGAGAAATGACAGGGGCCGAGCCCGTGCACATTTTGTCGTTCAGCTGATGAGCAGGGGGCGTGAGGAGGAAAGATAAGTTTTCTCTCCTAATTTTGAAGGCTCAGGATATGAAGAGTTATTATGAAAAAGCCTTCAGGAAGGAAAATGACAAATACATGTTTGAATGTATGTTACAGGAGAAGTATTTAAGGCCAGTTTCAAGGCGTGGCTAGTCTTTCTAATACTTTGCTCTTCATGTGAAGGTCAAGAAGAAAACATGAGTTCTTTAAATGTTTTTGAAGCTAGAATTCAAAAGAAATGCAGTTTTTAAAATATGCGTAAAAGCAAGTACTTGACAGTGTTCAAGGTCTGTGGTGAATTTTAAAATCAGGAACAAAAGCAATAAAATGGTACATATATTTTACATTTTAATTTGCGAGGAATTGCTCTTATATTTAAGTTAAGGAACTCTTCTTTCCTCCCATGCTGTTGATTTTTTGTGTAGAGTGTGAAACCTGTCAGCCCCCCAATGGGACTTCGCCCACCCGCCCTCCCGCCCCTCACCGGTTATCTGAGCCGGCCTCTTGTTCCCAGCTGAGTCCTCTCCTATGCGGTGTGGCGGGGGCGGTCCTGGTGGGTGGCTCTGCTCCTGTCTGCGCCTGGTATGAATTGGGAGAAGCCTGATGTTGTAAGTTCTGCTCATCCCAGATATTTGTTTTGCCCCTGTGTCTTTTACTTATTCCAGAGGATTTTAAAATTAGAGTACCAAGCAAGTATCACAAGTCTGGGGCCTGAGAAAACCAGCCTGAGGCTGGAGTCAGATCATAGGCAAGGCAGGGTTTCAATACGAGTTGTAAGTGTGCCGGTCACACTGATTCCGCCAGACCTAGCTGTATTGCCCTGGCATCGGGGTGAATGGAAATGGTTGGTAAGTACTTTCATAGACTTCACTAATTTCCTATTAAGTCCTGAAGGTGAAGTTTGCTCTGTTTTTGTTTTTTGTTTGTGTGGTTTTTTTTTTAATGATGTACGTGCGCTTAGACTACTTGGGAAGGACTTCGACCAGTGTCGGGTCTCTGGGGCAGACCCTGGTGGAAGTGTAGGACAGTATAGCATAAAGCATCCTGTAGGGGGCGTGCATGCTCAGAAGGTGGAATGAATGAACCCAAAATCTTGGGATGCTTGTTAGGTACAGGTTCAGGTGGGAGGGCAGAAGACAACTGGTAGACCTCTGCCTTTACAGGATTAGTCTCAAAGGCCCTGGCCTTCTCCCAGCCTGAGGGCAAGCCCATGTAAACATGTTTCCAGATGTGGAAGTGGACTGAAGTAGTCTTTGAATGTACTAGTGTGTTACAAAATTATTGTTACTGATTTTTTGTTATATGTAGTTTTCCAAGTTTTTAAAAATTGTGTAAAATTTGCCACATACACAAATGCTAAACATTCAATTTAACCATTTTTAAGTGTAGAAATCAGTGGCATTAAAAACATTCCCAGTATTAGGTGAGCATCACCACTATTTAAGAACTTTTCGTCATACCAAACAGAAACTCTGTACCCATTAAACAATAGCTCCTATACTTCAACTGCCCCCCTCCCAGCCCTGGAATCCTCTCTTCCACTTCTGTCTCTGTGAATTTGACTCTGCTACATGTCTCATATAAGTGGAATCACGAAGTATTTGTCCTCGGTGTGGCTTATCTCAGCATATGTAGTCTTCCAAGTTCCTCCATGTCATTGCACGTGTCAGAACGTCATCCTGTTTATAGCCCACTGGTAAGTATTCTGTTGTACCCGCACACCACAGGGTGTTGTATCTGTCTATTAACGGACCCTGGGGTTGCTTCCAGCTTGTGGCTGTTGTGAATAAGCTGTGGTGGATTTTGGTGTACAAGTCTCTGTCCCCAGTGCATTTTTGGGAGTGTATCTAAACGGGTAACTGCCATATCAGATGGCACCCTCATGTGTCACTTAGAGAAACTGCCAGACTGATAAACTCCTGTGCAAATTCTCCTCCTCCTCACCACACTTGTTTTCTATTGGAAGGTTCTGGTGGGTGTGAGGTGGTCTCTCATTGTGGTTTTGATTTGCATTTCCCTGATGACTAATGGATGTTGAGCATCTTTATCATGTGCTTATTGGCCGTTTGTGTGTCGTCTCTGGAGAAATACTGTTCAAGTCCATTGCTCATTTTTCAATTGGGCTGTTTGTCTTTTTGCTGTTGAGTTGCAGGAATCTGTAGTATTCTGATATTAACCCTTTGCTAGCCCTATGACTTAAAAATACTCCCATTCTGTGGGTTATCTTTTCACTTTGTTGATAGTGTCCTTTGATGTATAAGAGTTTTATGTTTTGATCAAGTCTGATGTAATCTGTTTTCTCTTTTGTTGCCTCTGCACTTGGTGACATATCCAAGAAGTCACTGCCAAATTCATGGTTGTGCGTATGTCTTCTATGTTTCCTTCTAAGAGTTTTATTGGTTTAGATCTTACATTTAGGTCTTTGATCCATTTTGAGTTAATGTTTGTATGTGGTGTTAGGGAAGGGTCCAACTTCATTCTTTTGCATTTGTATATCCATCCAGTTTTCCCAGCACTATTTGTTGAACTTTGTAATTGTCACTTGGAAATATTGTTACAAATATGATTTTCAAAATGCAAAGATTCATGTACATTATGCTTCTTGTATTTTAAAAATATCTGTTTGTTTCATGCATAGCCATGATTGCGAGGGTTTTGAGTTGTCCCCAGGGGACCTCCCTCAGCTGCTGTTCCCCTCCACGGTGTGCACTTACTGTTCTGAGCATGCAGCACAAATGGAGGTCCAGAAAAGTGGCTCCTGGTAGTAGAGGCTGTTATATTTTTTAATCAAGGGCATATTTGCAGCTCAACTTTTCAATAGGAATGGGTTAATGCAAACAAGTACTCTGGGAGAAGAGTCCAGGCAGCAGGAAGAGTGGGTGCAAAGGCCTTGCAACATGTGACTGGGGTGCATTTGAAGACCGTAGAGAGTGAGCAGGTCATGGGCAGGACTTTGTGGTTCCCTACGTGATAGCAGATGATTGGAGAGCTGGGGCAGGAGCAACCAACCTCTGATTCACATTTTTAAATGTAAAGAAGTGACTCTGATTTCAGACCCACAGTCTTCTGCCAGATCCTCCACCGTGAGCAGCAGGAGTCCAAGATGCCAAGACCAGCGCACTTGGTCTGTTTCCAGATTGAAGCCCTCAATCTCCCTGGGCAACCCAGGCCAGCTCGTGTACCTCTCAGCTGGCAGCCCACAGACTCACCACACCGAGGTCCGGGGCCCAGCGTGCAGGATCTCCCTGGACCCTGTGCCTTCCTGACTGCCATGCACATGTGCCACTGTGCAGAGCATGGACAGTGATGCCACAGTGGAGGAGAGTGCTTGTTTGGTGCCAGCCTGGCGGCCTGTGCCCACTCTCAGTAACTCACACTAGGAGCCCTTTTTCTGTTTCATTGGGCCTGTTCTTTGCTTGATTGCAGACCCTGAAAACAGTGTTTGTTAGCTCTGGTGCAGTCATGTAGCCCTTGGACAACCCAATACACTTCTCTACGCAAAAGTGCACAAGAGCACACGTGCCTTTTCTTGCATAGTTTCTGGGAGTTTGTGGGGTAAGGATTCCTTGCCTTGGTGTGAGAACCATATTTGTTGAACTTACATGGCCTGATGCAGTGCTAGTCACATAATGAGGCACTCTGGCAGGAAGAGCATTTCTGTGACATTGAAAGGTCTCCCACACTAATGTCAGCCCTGCACCTGCACAGGAAGTATTTGGTGTCCTGGTGGAGGTCAGGGCTTGTGTCTGATTTGTACTAGCTCAGTCCTCAGAGGCACTTTCTGCAGGTGAGGGGATGAGCCCAGAGATGTTAAGCTGCCTTCCCGAGTGGTGGAGCTGTGATTTGAACCTGCTTCCCTCTTTTGTAGCCCTTAATCACAATGCAGTGTCACCTCTGCCTCTCTGGGTTTGTGTCCATCCTCACCTGTGGTCACTAGTTCTCCAGACCAGGGCCTGGTCCTGTCTTGAGCCTTCACAGTTCTGGTGACTAGTGGTTTAAATTCCTCTGGCACCCTCTTAAGCCAGCATGCCCTGG